ATTTATTAAACTCACTCTCTGTCCAGCTTTGTTCCCTTGCTGGTGAGGAGTTTTGATCCTCTGGAGAAGCGTTCTGATTTTTGGAATTTTCAGCCTTTTTTGCACTGGTTTTTCCTCGTCTTCCCAGATTTATCTACCTTTGGTCTTTGCCATTGGTGACCTCTGATGGGGATTTTGTGTGGTGGTTCTTTTTGTTGATGTTGACACTATTGGTTTCTGTTTGTTAGTTTCCTTTTAACAGTCAGGCCTCTCTTCGGCAGGTCTGCTGGAGTTTGCTGGAGATTAATTCCAGACCCTGTTTGCTTGGGTTTCACCAGTGGAGGCTGCAGAACAGCAAACAGAGCTGCCTGCTCCTTCCTCTGGAAGCTTTGTCCCAGAGGGGCACCTGCCAGATGCCAGGCGCAGCTGTCTTGTATGAGGTATCTGTCGACCCCTGCTGGAAAGTGTTTCCCTGTCAGGAGGCATGGGGGTCAGGGATCCACTTCAGGAGACAGTCTGTCCCTTAGCAGAACTCAAGTGCTATGCTGGGAAATCTGCTGCTCTCCTCAGAGCGAGCAGGCAGGAACATTTAAGTCTGCTGAAACTGTGCCCACAGATGCCCCTTACCACAGGTGCTTTGTCCCAAGGAGATGGGAGTTTCATCTATAAGCCCGTGACTAAGCTGCTGCCTTTCTTTCAGAGATGCCCTGCCTAGAGACGAGGAATCTAGAGAGGAGTCTGGCTACAGTGGCTTTGAGGTGCTGTGGTGGGCTCCACACAGTCCGAATTTCAGGGCAGCTTTGTTTACACTGTGAGGGAAAAACTGCCTACTCAAGCCTCAGTAATGGCAGATACCTCTCCTCTCACCAAACTCCAGTGTCCCAGGTTGACTTCAGACTGCTGCACTGGCAGCGAGAATTTCAAGCCAGTTGATCTTAGCTTGCTGGGCTGCATGGGGGTGGGATTCACTGAGCTAGAACTTGGTTTCCTGCCTTCAGCCTCCTTTCCAGGGGAGTAAACAGTTCTTTCTTGCTGATGTTCTAGGAATCACTGGGGTACAGATAAAAAAACTCCTGCAGAAAGCTCGGTGTCTGCCCAAACGGCCTCCCAGTTTTGTCCTTGAAACCCAGGGCCCTTGTGGTATAGGCACTAGAGGGAATCTCCCAGTTTGCGGATCATGAAGACCCTGGGAAAAGTGTAGTATCTGAGCTGGATAGCACTGTACCTCACAGCATGGTCTCTCATGGCTTCCCTTGGCTAGGGGAGGTGGTTCCCTGACCTTGTGCGCTTCCTGGGTGAGGTGACACCCTACTTGGCTTCTGCTCACCCTCCATGGGCTATACCCACTGTCTAACCAGTCCCACTGAGATGAACTGGGTACCTCAGTTGGCAATGCAGAAATCATCCACCTTCTGCAATGGTCTCACTGGGAGCTGCGGACTGGAGTTGTTTCTATTCAGCCACCTTGCCTGGGAATCCCTGTTGCAGCTTCTACACTGGCACTTGCTGCTTCACTTTGTACTTTTATGTTACAGAGATGGCTTCTTTCTGTAAGCCTATTGAACTAACTTCTGCTAGTTTCAAACTTTTCTTTTGTAGCTTTCTCCCCTCTCACAGTCTTGACAGAATTGAGAAGAGTTAGCAGTTTCCTCTGAATTAGGCTTTGGTTCAAGGGAATACTGTGGCTGTCTTGATCTTCTATCCAGACTACTCAATCGGACTATTTTGCATTAGCAAAATAAGGTGGTTTGCCTTCTTATCATTTGTGTGTTCACTGAAGTAGCACTTTTAATTTAAGAACTTTTCCTTTACATTTACAACTTAGCTGTTTGGCCCAAGAGGCCTAGCTTTCAGCATGTCTCATGTTTCAATAGGCCTTCTTCATTAAGCTTAATCATTTCTAACTTCTGATTTAAAGTGAGGGATGTTTAACTTTTCCTTTCATGTAAATACTTAGAGGCCATCATAGGGTTGTTAACTGGCCTAATTTCAATATTGTTGTGTCTCAGGGAACCGGAGATATGAGAGAGAGAGAGATAGAGAGAGAGAGAGAGAGAGAGAGAGAGCGAGAGAGAGAGAGGAGAATGACTGGTAGGTGGAGCAGTCAGAACACACAACATTTATTAAGTCTGCCATTTTATATGGTCATGGTTTATAGCACCCCAAATAACTATGAGTAACATCAAAGATCACTGATCACACACAGATCAACCTAAGAGATATAATGAAAAAGTTTGAAATATTGCAAGAAGTACAAAAATATGACACACAGAAAAAATGAGCACATGCTGTTGGAAAAATGGTGCTAACAGACGATGGCAGGGTTGTCATAACGTTTCAATTTATTAAAAAGGCAGTATTTGCAAAGGGCAATAAAGTGAAATGCAAAAGTACAGGGTCTGCCTACATTTCTTCTTCCCTCTCCTCTTTCTTTCTGGAATACAAACTATATATATATATTACAAATTTCACTATGTTCACATATTCTGCTATCTTTTTTTATTCTTTCTTCTCTATTAGTTTTTGTTTGAATATTTTCTAATAATCTATCTTTAAATTCACTTATTCCTTCTTCTGTTGTGTCTAGTCTTCTATAAGTGAACTAATTTCAGATACTGTATTTTTTATCCTAAAATGCCCACTTCATTATCTTTTATTCTGACCTTCTAATAATATTTTACATGTTATTTTTTCTCCCTTTTCTTCCATTAAAATACATTAATAAGTTACTTTCAAATTCTTGTGTATAAATGCTAATAAAAGAACCATTTATGGGACTGCCTCTGTTGTTTCTCTCATGATTAGCAGCCAAATATTCCTGCCTCTCTGCATATCTAGCAATGCGTGTCTCTTTTTTCCCCTCTACTTGTTATACTGAGCGTGCTGACCTGCTGTGACTTACTATTTCTTTCTTGGAGGCACAATTCCTCCCCTATTCCTGGGATTTTTTTTTTAACCTATATTGAGGAATATTGATCTACCATTGTTTTTCCTTATTAAAAATCTGCTTCAATGTTGCATATTATTGGGTAATTATTTGCTTTATTTCATTTTTATCATCAAAAGAGTAGAGTAGCACCTTACCTGCTCAAAAGTCATCCAACCATTGCAATTGTTAAGCATAAGAAACAAGATGATCCTCTGAAAGGCCAATATCAATGGCACAAAACCAATAAATTTTTACTCACACCAGTTCTTAAGAATAAGAATACACACACACACACACACACACACACAACCCATCAACCCGTGTTGTAGTAGGCAGAACACAGAATTTGATGACAGAAGACATGGCCTAAACCTTATCTGCCATTTGCTAGCAGAGAGACCTTAGGTACAATGCTTACTTACTTTGAGTCTTAGTTTTCAATTCAAAAGTTGTTGAAAGATAAAAGAGTATATTTTAAATTCACAGATGTTGTGAAGACAAAACAGTGTATTTTAAAGACCTTTGTAAACTGTAAGCATGTTGTAAATGCCTTATTACATAGTTTTTAAATCTATAGATCAAAAACTATATTAAATAGACACGGAGCTAACAGTGTAACAGACACATGGACAGTAACTGACAATCAACAGAATAAGATCAAGAGAAGAGTAAAAAACTATTTGAAAAGTACAATAAGAACCCAGGTAAGCTATTTAATATAAACTGAAACAGTTCTACTAATTTCAACAGACCCTGGAGCTATTACTTCAACACGATAGGAATTACTGTTTATGAAAAGTTTAAATCTGAAACAATACCCTGTATATTACTACAAAATATAAAAATATCTAATGAACACTGGAAAAAGTATAATAAAAAATGACTAAAATAAAAATTCCACTTGAATTATCTGCAAGTAGATTTGTTTCTACTTAAGGGCCTTTATAATGTATGATTTTGGCATGAGTAAATACGTAAATAAAATGAAGAATCTGCATCATTGGCCAGGTGTGGTGGCTCACACCTGTAATCCCAGCACTTTGGGAGGCCAAGGTGGGTGGATCATTTGCGGTCAGAAGTTTGAGACCAGCAGGGCCAATATGGTGAAACCCCTCCTATTAGCCAGGAGTGATGGCACAAACCTCTAGTCTCAGCTACTCTGGAGGCTGAGGTAGGAGAATCACCTGAAGCCAGGAGGCAGAGGTTACAGTGAGCCAGGATCATGCCACTGCATTCCCAGCCTAGACAACAAAGCAAGACTCCTTAAAAAAAAAAAAAGAAAAAAGAATCTGCATCATTAACTCACTCACTAGTAGAAAACTTTGTAAAAGGTATTTTTCAGAAGTCTTTGAAGAAAACAAGTAATAGACTGTGGCTAAAAAATAGAAGAGAGTGAAATCAACATTCTCATAGAGCAAAAAGTAAAAGGAACAAGATGGCCTATATGAAGAAAAGGTCAAAGAAGGCATGTGGCATAGATTCTTGAAAGCAAGAATCATTTGGGGAACTCTAAAGAATAGTATAGCAGGGTTGTAAAGTAGGTAATACATTAAGTTTTAGTAAATAATAATTTAACAAAAATGTTTGTAAAGTATATTTATCAATGAGTTAAAGAGATAACTCCAGAGTTGATTAGGCAAACACAGGTAAAATATCAGGCTTATGCCACAAATAACAAATTTTCAAAAAAGCACTAGATAAAGGAGGTCAAGAATTTAAGTGAAAAATAGGTACACAGTCTAATGTAAAAGAAGAAACTCAGTACCTTGCCATTGTTGAAAATGGAAATAGGATCAGGATCTTTTTCACAGGCCCTGTTAAAACACATCTATGCAGGTATGATTTCTCTAAAGCTTAAAGGAATTATACCAAAACTAAGAGTCATTTAATCCTTTATCTGAAGTCAGAATAGTAAAGGCAAAAATAGTCTAATTTTTGCATATGTTAAGATTTCATTATGTGCTAAGTGTTTTTATTTGGTAACTAAACCTAATAATATATCAACCAAAATCTAAAATAGTAATATCTGAAAATATCTCTGTAAAAACGATGTCCAAAATAATTCAGTAATCTTATGAATAAATATATATACCTTAGCAAGTGATTTTACGATAGGATTCTCCATAATTCCCTTGAGGAAAATTAGGTCTATTTCTTCTGCTCCAGTAGATGAAGGCAGCTCTGTAAGGTTTTCCAAGACTTGCTGCATTGCTGCTGAGATAAAAGCACATTAAAAAAAAAAACTTAAATTTCAAGCCATTATGGAGTAAGATTATTTTAATAATGCACATAGACATTTAGAATATTCTTTTAAAAAATAACATTTTCAAAAATGAAATTGTTTAACAGTATGAGTTTCAAATTGACTTCCCAGGAATTAGTAGCAGAATAGATTTTTAGATGCAATTTGGACTTTATCAGACTACTTTATACATACTTAAAACATTTCACTTGCTTTTTATTTTTCAAATTTAAAAACATTACTCAAGGAAAAATACAAAATTCAATTAGACTTACAAGTAAAAAGTCTAATTTAGGAATAATAAACTTCCTACAAGCCCAGAACCAGCCTTTGCTGTTGAATTCTATGAAACAATTTAAAAAGAATTAAGATAAATACTTCACAAACTCTTCCAATTAAAAAAAAAAGAGGAAGAAACATCTTCCAACTCATTCTATGGGACCAATTACCCTGATACTAAACCCAACAACATCACACACACACAGAAATATTACAGCCAATGTCTCCTAGAAATACAGATGCAAAAATCTCAAAATATTGGCAAACGGAATCCAGCGACATATAAAAGGATTGGACATAATGGGCAAGTTCACTTTAACCCAGGAATGCAAGAGTAGTTCAATGTATTAAAAAAATCAATATAATATTCTCAATAGTACAAAGAACAAAACCAAATGATATTTCAGACAAAGAAAATCATTAGACAAAACCTAAAACCCTTTCATAATAAAAATATTCACTAAACTAAAAACAGGAGGAAAATACTTCACTCTGATAAATGGCTTCCATGAAAAACCCACAGCTAACATCATACTTAATGGTGCTTTTACTCTTAATATAGAATAAAACAAGGTTGTATACTTTTGGCATTTTTATTCAACTTTGTATTGGAGGTTCTAGACAGGGCAGTTAAGCAAAAAAAGAAAAGAAAAAGAAGACAAGTAAAAGGCATCCAGATTTGAAAGCAATAAGTAAAACAATTTCTATTTGCAGATCATTTGATTTTACATATGGAAAATCCCAATATACAAAAATTTATTATAATTAATAAGTGAGTTCACCAAGATTTCAGGATACAAGATCAATATAAAACAACCAGTATGTTGTTACATATAGTGTATTTCTATACACTAGTGAAAAACAATCCAAAAATGAAATTAAGAAAACCATTTCTTTAATAGTAGCATCAAAAAAAAAATACTGAGAAATAGATGTAACAGTAGTACAAAATTTGTACTACTACAATAAAACTATAAAACACGACGGAAAGAATGAAGAAGACCTAAAGGTAATGACATCCCATGTTCATGGATCAGAGAACTTATTAAAACGGCAAAAGTTCCCAAATTAATCTACAGGTTTAATACAATCCCTATCAAAATCTCTAATGCCTTTTCCTTTTTTGTAGAAATTGACAAGTTCATTCCATTCATCTGGAAACTAAAAAAAAAAAAAAATTCCAGAATAGCCAAGAGTCTTCAAAAAGAACAACAAAGTTGCAGACCTCACACTCTCAACTTCAAAACTTACTAATACAGTAATCAAGACTATGTGGAACTAGCATATAGACAAACATATAACTAAACAAGAGCATAGTAACAAATCCATGAATTTATGGTCAGTTGATTCTGAATGTGTCAAGATAATTAAAGAAAGAAAAAATAGTCTTTTCAACAATTGGTGCTGGGATAACATGTACATGTAAGAGAGTGAAGCTAGACCCTTCCCCTCATTCAATATTATAATCTTATCCGTTTTATCTCTATTTGATGCTTCTGAGAATAAATCAACAATCAATACAGAAATTGTTTTTTATTAAAACAAAATACAGACACTGTTAAAAATCAGATTGTACTACTAAATGGCTTATAAAACACAGTTTTCTGTTCCATGCTGTTTACACTTCTCCCAACTTATCCTACTTCCAGAACTAATTACTAGGAACTTAATTGTTTCTTCTAATCAGATGTGTTGGTAGTTTCTCTTCTTTCTTGATAATATGCTAATGTTGCTACTTTGTGATTGACCCATTTTGGACATGACCTACTTTCTGTTAGAACACTAGAGGTAAACGCTTTTACCTTCCGTATCTTCACACTCTCCATTTTTTAAAAATAAAATAGTGTTTTTCATATTAAACCCTCAAAACTTTTTTCCAAATGTTTCAACAAGCTTTTCACATTTTTATCAGCATTTTTCCAAATGTTCAAATCTTTTCTAATACTCTATCAGACCTATTTCTTGTCTTCTATCCCTGATCTCTCTCACAAAGCATTCTCTTGTATGTTAACCTGGACAGATTCATCTGCCAGAGTTTCTTGAATGACAATTTTTGAAGATAAAGAGGCAAACAAGAGCACAATGCACACTAGACAAAGGAGAAGGAAAACAAGTATTGGACTAAGAAGAAAGATGACACAGGAAATAAAGAATATAAGCTACACCTACTTCATAGTTTTGCTTAAGGTCAACAGATTACCTTTAAGTGGACAGGAAACAATAGAATCAATTTTTAAAAGTTTTGTCCTGTGGCTATAAATGTGGTTAGCAGTACATCTCATTACTTACTATTCTTTTCTTTGACATTGTACATTTGTCTTTATTTTTCATTTTTATTATGGAAAACTTCAAACATATGAAGGAAACAGAATAGTATAATAAACCACATAATTATCAGCTCCAACAATTATCAACTCATGGTCAATCTTGTTTCATACCCCTATATACTTTCTACCTTATATAACTTTGAAACAAATTCCAGAAATCCTATTTCAATGTATATGTCTCAAAGATCAGCACTCTTTTTGTTCTCTCTTAGATGGAGTCGCGCTGTGTGGCCCAGGCTGGAGCACAGTGGTGCAATCTCATGTAACTCCAAACTCCTCCTCCCGGGTTGAAGCAATTCTTTGCCTCAGCCTCCCAAGTAGCTGGGACTATAGATGTCCGCCACCACACCCAGCTAATTTTTGTATTTTTGGTAGAGACAGGGTTTCACCATATTGGCCAGGCTGGTCTTGAATTCCTGACGTTGTGATCCACCTGCCTCAGTTTCCCAAAGTGGTGAGATTGCAAGCGTGAGCCACAGCAGCCGGCAGATCGGCACTCTTTTTTTTTTAATTTGATACTGCCATTTTGATGCTAGCTGGCTGTTTTGCCTGTGATCAGCACTCTTTTTAAACAGCATAACCAAAATACTGTCAGCAATAGCATTGCAGGAAATAAGAATCAATAAAAGGTTCCTCTTCAAAGCGTTCCTTTTAGTTCATTATGAATAAACAATAGTTTCTTCAAAGGTTAATTGACTTTAAAGCTTTTGCTAATAATCTTAGAGTAACTGTTAGTCATAATAAAGAAATAAGTGCATGCCATGTTCTTAGTTCTTACACTTTAACCTAGATATTCGCCCAGACATGCCTGGAAAAGCCCAGGCAAATCTTAGGTCAAAGCTTATTACCCTTCCTTGTTTGGAAATGTTATCACTTCTCTAAGCATTCCTCAAGTTACTTCCTCTTTTCCTTTGTTCTCCTCTGCCTTTACTTCTTTAGAAAATTTCCAAGTTTTTAGCCAATCGGGTCAAGCATAGAATGTGAGCTCCCATTCTGGCTAATGGAAACTGGACACAGTAGTAGGGTGCTTGCATCAGGTTATGAAAGTTATAAATGTCCCTGTCTCCTTTGTTTAGGGGTGCTCTTGTGGCAAGACTACCAGCAAGTTGCACCCTTCCTGCAGAGAGTAAACTAGCCTTGCTGAGTTATCCACTGTCTCGGTGTGGATTTTTTCTAATGTTGTAAACCCGTTTCCAACAATTATCAAATTAGCAATACCTAAAAAATGAACAGTAATTCATTAATGTTATCAAATGATTTGTCAGTGTTCATAACTCAAGTCGTACTGAAGATTTTTTTTTAAATGTACCTTCTATATTGATTTTTGAGGTGCTTGTTTTTTTTAAATTGGTGTTTAAGTCAGTAGAGAAGTGATAGAAATTGTGAAATAGATCTTCGGTTATTTTAAAGATCTTCATAAGTTGTTATTGATTCTCAATCATATGAAATTTAATCTATAAATGGACAACATCCCTTGTATTGGAAAAGAAATCTCAAATATTATAATGCTGTCAATCATTCCCAAATTAGTTTGTATATTTGGTGGATTTATAGTCAAAATATAATACATAGTTATTCTTAACTATATAATCCTAAAAGCATGTGAAATGATAAAGGAAAAATGTGAGAAAATTATAACAAATAATGGGAGATGGGCCTACTCCCAATTTAGTAAAAGTGATTCTGCAGAGTCCCTCACCAAAATTATGAACAATGGAATCTGAGCTGCTACCTTCTTACAGAAATCTCTCCTGCTGTTTCTCTGCTTAAAATGGAAATAGCTGTCCTGTGTTACCAAAGTCTTTCTTTTCCAAACTTCAAATAAAGTACTTCCATGATTTTTTAAAAGTAACAAAATGATTTAGTCCTATAAAATATTAAAACATAAATCTATAATAGTCAGATATCAAAAAACATAAGACAACTCTACTACGTGTAAAAACATAATATATAACATAAGACCCCAAAACGTAAAATGCAATAAAAAAATAAGAATACAAAACAAAAACAAAAAAACCATAAGAGCCTCTCAGTAATCAGAGCCTTACAAAGCTAAGATAGGAGCCAGAGAAAAACAGAAGTTTTTCCTGTTTACTTAGAGATCGCAGGAAGAAAGGAAAGACTCCAAACTCAAAAGGTAAGTTCCATTCCTTCTTCATAATCTCTAGAGGAGATAAAGACTTTAATCAGACACTAGATTCAGTAACACATAAATGGGATTTTTACATGAGCTAGAGAAAAATTAATAGATTTAATCTCATCCTTCAGTTACCAATAAGAATAAACCATGAATCACCAATTGCTTATGAAAACTAGCAGCATGAATTAGACTAACCAAATTCAACAAACAAAAGCATGAACCT